ATACTCATTGCAGCCTAGCAACAATCACTCAGACTAACCTGTGTTTGGATGCAGTATTAATTGTTCATCCATATGAGTTGCACTAATTAAAACTTTATGAGCATGGGGGGAAAATGAAGATGATGCACTTAAATGCATAAACAGCCGTGACTCTTTTTGAATGTGCATGAGCAGGTTGTTAGTATGCAAGATGTATACATGAGACAATATTCAAAAGAATTTTAAAAATTAGAAGTGAATGTCATTTTTGGTTTTGAAAGGCCACCTGAGAGGAACTAACATTCTGTTCTATTTTAGAGCTTCAGTTGAAAGAATGTGCAAAGTTATCTTTGTATTACAGCAAATTGCACATTTCCTCTAAAGAGAAACTCCCTAACTGGTCGGCACTCTGAAGGTGGACTGTTGGAATGAGATAAGACATAAAAAGTGACTATTATGGTAGATATGTTCAGACAGGTTGCTACTGTTAACAAAAAACAAATAAATAAATGATAGAGAGAGCAAGTTCCTGTTCTGACCAAAAAAACCACATCGCATATTCAAATAGCTTATTATTAAGAAGTTCATTTATTCCAGTAAATTAGTTCAAGAAACACATCACAATGAATATGTGCGCACAACGCAGTTAATGTTTGGCTAATGTAAAAAACAATATCACAGTCGCTCTGTTTCCATTAAATAAGAAATGCAATTAAAGTCACGTGAATAAGTTTGTTCGCATAATAGGTCATTAAAAAACATGCAGCGCCATGATGTGCCTACTATTTCCTTTCGCCTTCTTTGCATTTTTCACCAGCGGTGACATCCAAACACAAAATGTTTTATTGAAAAATTTGTTTTTTTAAATTGGTGCATCATAAAGCAAACTTATTTTCATAACAATTATCAGGATTTTCTTACTTACAGATGATGAAAACATGACGTTTAAAATAAGACCAATTACAAAAATCATTTTAATATCATTAATATGGAATGAGTAGAAAATATTTTAATACCTGCTTAACAGTTGTTTTTAATCAAAAGGCAAATAGTATTGTAGTCTAACAAGCGTCACTGGAATTCATATATTTTTTGATTAATATAACTGTACACATACATACCTGCTGTTTATTATCTGTTCTTTATATTTAATATCTACATGCTGTGAGGATGTGAAACTTATATGAAAATCCATGTCATTTTTTAAAAAGAAAATGATAAAATGAAATGACCCACTAATGTAAAAAAAAAAAAAGGATAATTGTAACAAAAAAGACAAACTTTGAAAGGCTTATCAGAAAAAATTCAAATTAAAAAAAGTTACAAAAATGTGATTCCAGCCGGGAAACTTTGCTGCACGTCTCCTGACTCATTTCCAGGAAGTTGATGACATGGCTTTCAGGTCTGGCCTTGCATCCTTGTATAATGTACAAGTTTTTCTCACGTCATGTGTATTTTTTTTGTATTCAACCAGGATCAGAGAAATAAAAAATATACATTTCTGTCGTTTTCTTTTGATTCCAGCTATTTGATCGGCTATTGTTCTCACTGATGAAAAGAACGTATGACATTCACAACCACATCTCTAAATATGTTCATCCATCTGGGCAAGGGCTTGGGAGGATGAAGGGCCTCAAAGTTTAGCCGTCACTCGATCACAACAACAAACACGGTACGAGAGAGAGAGAGGGAGCTCAAAGGCTTCTACTATTTACCACCAACGCAGCATGTTTGGCTTCGTTTTCTCAGCAGACCATGGCGAGCAGAGGTCAGCTCTAACCACGCCGCTCCTCCTTGGTGCTTCAGAAGCTGTTTTTAGAAGCAGCGGGCAACACCAAAAATGGCACGGAAGAGTATTTGGAGCTCGGTGTGGAGTTTGAGACAGGCAGGGAAAGCGCAAAGGCAAAATAATAAAAACGAGCTAAAAACAGTTGTAGAGGTCATAAACACGCCACCGGGAGGAAATCTTACCCTTCAATCCAACTCTGAGAACATTTATATTAGCGGTTCGAAAGGCAAAGAAATGTGAAGATGTTGTGTAGAATTAAGGTTAAACTTAACTGTTGAGGTCATCATAATGTGCCAAGCAAAAGTATTCCCACCCGTAGACCTTTTCCTTATTTCGTCACAAGAAACCTCAATGTAATTTTATTGGGGTTTTATGTGATAGACCAACACAAAGCAGTGGATTATGATGTGGTGGAAGGGAAATGGTGTCTTAATCATTTGGCCATCTTACTACCAATTTCATTTCTAAAACCTTGTTACCATCCATTAAACAAAAAGTGTCACCAAAACGTAACATTTAAAATTAGAATGTCACCAACTATGCAATAGTATGGTACTTTATTGCAGGCCGTGCAGTTCTTTGCGATAGACATATCACACATACTAAGATGACTGGAGCACTAAATTTGAGGAGCAGGAAAATTGTTCAAACTTGAAGGGAAGATGTAAAAACTGACAACATAGCAAAATGCTCGACGATAATAAGTGGCAAGCTTGTCACAATAACCTATTAGGTAAATTAAAACGAGGTCAATAATTTCAATTCTGATGATGAATCATTTTCAGGGGTATTTCATTTTTTTGTTTTTGGTTGTTTATTAATTTTTTGGGTTGTTTAGGGTATTTTTTTGGGGGGGTTATTTAAAATATCTTCAAGTGCCTGTGTCAAATGTTCATTACAAAAATTAGACATTATTGATCTCAGAGGGTGAACTTGTGCCATTATCAATATATTACTTGAAAATTGTCTCAAAACCACAAAATTATCATGTATCGCAATAATCTCTGGGGCAATTTATAGTTCAGCAAAATTGAGATATGGGTCATAATGCTCCACCAGGAGAAACCAAAAAAAACCCTCTAAATTATGAAATTATTTAAGAAATCTTTGCCCGTGAAGTGCATCACATCACCATTATTATTTTCGGAAACCGTTTTCTGTTGGGCAATGTCAATTACAGCTGGGTGTCAAGGATTTTATCGCAATTTTTTGTACTACTGCTTGCAGACTAAAGGAAGGAGTTATACAGAGTATGTTATGGGATAAAAGGCTGATTATGCTTCGATCTTTGCTTAGTTTCTCAGAGGAAGTAAGCATGTGTCACAGACTGCAGTGGTGCACATTCATCACTTCTTTCCCAAAGGAACAGAGAAACACACATGCGTGAGCAGAGAGCACAAGCTGAAACATAGACTAGCTGCGTTTCCATTACGAATGTGTGCAAAGCATTGTTAATATTCCAATAATCTCGACAAAACACAATTTCACAATTGCGGAGGTTTCAATGAAATAAGAAATGCAATTTCAAAAATCACATTTGAATAAGTTTGTTCACGCGATAAGTCATTAAAATCCATGCTGCACCATCATCCTCCTACAACTTCATGTCGTCTTCTTCGTCTCTTCCGCCAGAAACATCTGGAGGTTGATCATGTAATGTGAAAAAAAGTTGTTTTCATTGCAGTTTTACAGAATACATCTTCAGAAAAACCAGCTCATGCTAGCATAAAAGCTTCTTCATCAAAAGTTTTTTTTTCTTTCTTTTCAAAATTGGCTTGTCTCCATTAAGCAAAATCATCTTTGTAAATTCAACTTGCACAATTTTATGGTTGACAGAAACGCAGCAACTGAGGGGATCGTCCTGGGTGTGGCTCTCGGTGGGAAGAGAGTGGCCTCATAACTCATCTGGGATGATACAGCAGCTGTTCTCAGGGGACGGGGGTCCCAATCCATTCAGCTGATAGCTGATGGCTCTGTTGCCGTCTCACCAATCTCCACTCTACATCCGTCCTACATCTATCCTCCCCCTCAATTAGCCTTTCCTCTCCCTCCCCTCCTGGCCGTCCTTCCCGGTTGACATCCTCTCATTCTCCGTCTGTCCTCGCCTCTCTTCCTGCCCCCATTTCCTTGATTAAACTGCGCTCCCCTGTGCCGTGTGGAGTCAGCGCGGTCGGCTGGATTTACAAGGCTTTCATCTTCCAGCTCACTCTTCAGATGAAACGGCAGGAATGGCAGGGGTGAGGGGGGGGCGCGCTGGGGTTGAGGCTTGGTCCCACTCAGTGGAAGTTGTACAACCTGCCAATCACGGGCCGAGTCGTTTTAGAAAAGCCAACGTCTTTGTTCAAACACAGTCGTCAAAAAGCATTGTGGACAAATCCCTGCCTCGATCCACCAGCTCTCTCCCCACCTCATGTGACGAGACCTGACAGTAATCACAACACATCATGTGAGATCACTTGTTGAAGCCTCTTTCATATGACCAGGCGCACCGAAGGGCCTGCTGCAGTTCCATTTATTCAAACGGAGAAGATAGTAAACGGAATTTTTCCACATGTTTCAGGTCTCATACGCAAACATTCCCACACTCAAATATACCAAAAAGTCTTAATCTTTTTAACATAGTTACAAAAGTTGGGCGTGACTTCCTAAAGGAGGCTTAAATAAAAGAATATGACAAAAGAAAAATCAGTGGATGGTTGGAAAGCAAATGATCGGAGTAGATGAATAGCAAGACGAGTGGTTCCACTAAACAAACAGATGGTGATAGAAAATAAAGGTTGACAGAAAAATGGATATGTGGATGAAAGGGATCAAACGAACAGATGGATTATTGGGTAAATAAATGGACCAAGAACAAACTGAGGGATGATGGAGATTTTATGGCTGGGTGGATGAAAAAAGTTAAAGTAAGAGATAGGTGGATGAATAGTGGAAAACAAAACAAAAAAAATTAATTGATGTATCCCTTTTTTGTTTCACCCCCCATACATATCCTATTTTGGAAAAAGAATAAGACTAGATGCAATACATGTTTCAGACTGTAGGAACCCTTGTTCAAAGCCACATCAGTCTGTGGCAGCAATTACACTTTTTTCAGCTCACAAAGCGATTACGCACCATTCAAACAGACGACGGGGGTGTTTAAAAAGTGCCTTTTAACCAGCTCAAATTAGTTTGGGGGACGCAGGAAAAAGAAAAGCGAAGAGAAAATGTCCAATTTCAGCCAGTTTACCTCGCCGCTGTGCTGTTATATCCGAGGCGACATACAGGAGCAAAGAGCGAGCTGTCCGCGTCCAGCTCCCTGTGATGTCCCGCCACACAGAAGCACTGAGAGCAGCGGCTGTCTGCCCTGTTGGCACCGGCGGACGCTTTCTCCTCCCGAGGACTCAAAGCTTCCTCCGGATCTTCATGCCACTCAGCTTCCACTTGGATGGTGAAAACGTAAATGTCACCACGTATTTGAGCCGAAAGACGGAGCAGAAAGCCCTAAAAGAAACAACTGTATCCGTGAAGCGCCGGGAGCGGGTCTCCTGTCCTCGGACTAAATTGGGATAAAGCGGAGGGAGACGCCGCACCGCCCGCAGCAAAGCGGCCCGTTAGAAACAGCGCTTCCGTCTTGTTCTCTTCACAATAAAAGACACGCTTGACAAGAAAAATCCAATCATTATTTTTTTCTACTTATTGCACTATCTCATTTTGAACAATTTTATATGTAGTAAATTTTATTGAGCATCGAAATTATTGCTCTAACCTTGAATGAAAAGACAACGGTTTCTGACCAGTACTAATGTTGCCATTGGTATTGTGATTTTTTTTAAACATAAAAACACACACACACACACACACACATAAAAACAAATAACATGGTATAGGAATGCTGAAATAAATTACTAATCAATATCGGTGTTTAGGTCTATCTCTCTTATCTTGCATTCATATCCTTCATAAAATTCATGAGCTTCTATCAGAAGGCAGGAAGGGGCCTGCAAATAATTTGAAACTTTGGTGGTGCCACAGCGAAGTCCAACACAGCGCCCTTGGTACATAGATTGGTTTTGTAATTTGTGTACAAAACTAAATAGGTATAAAAGTGAATAGGCTATGCTATTTTATCAAATCTATTGAAAACGTCTCACATTCCAGCACACTGAAATTAATTACGAACTTACATTTTATTTCATTCTGATTTATTAGCTTTATTTTGAAGGCCGTGCCTGGACCGTGACCACGTCACTACCAGACTCCGCTGAACTGGATGCCTATTTATACAGATGCTGCTCATGTCGACGTTAACGCTGCGCCAGTGTTTAAATTAGTCCCTGCCATCACCACATCGTCATCATCAAAGGAGAGTCCATCATGTTGTAGTTTGATAGTTTGGTTGTTTTTTTACACACTTTTGAAGCACATGTATGTAATTTTTATTCTTTTCCAGAGACCACCAAGATTTTATTATTATTTTTTTTTTGCATGATTTTGACGACACATTAATTATTTGCTTTAAGCTCAGTGGTCAGAGTCATCGCCTTTGTCTCTGGAGACATGGTGGGGAAAAAAAGAATGTAAGAAAAACAAACTATCAGGTCCGGAAGCTCCTTAAATCCTGTTTAGTCTCCAGGGAATGTTTGCAAGGGAATTCTTTCGGCCTGTGAAACAAACCCACGGCCCCCACGGCAAGAATGAGACAGACGGAAGTTGTGTCAATTGATTTTTTTTTTTATGATTATAGAAAGTTACAACATCAAAATATTTTTTGGGTCATTTGGTGTATAACAACAACAACAACAACAAAACTAATTATTAAAGAAAAAATAGAATTAAAAAAAAGTTCCCGTTGGCCCAATGAGATAAGCCGGATGAGGCGCTGTAATTGAGCTGATATGAATCAGACCGGCAGATTCGTCAGCCTCGTTCGTTCAGTCCCAGATAGAGCTACGGTGACTAAGAAATGTCTTCCTTTGACTAAGCAGCAGGAAATAGTCGCCGACGAAAGATACTGGCCGTCTGGAAAGCCTGACGTCCCAGACGTCCAAATATTGTGACATTTCCTGTCAGAGGAGATATGGAACCAAGCAGATTCATTATCATCTGGGTTTAAGGTCTGACTGATCAAATTACCTCTCGTTTTTAAAGGGTTTTGCTTCTCAAATGGCTTAAATGCAAAGAGGAAACTCCAAACAGACAGTACTAACAGGGAAGTGGTTTATAATTTTTAGTAACAAGTCTTATTGTTAAATTGGTACGACGCGATTAGCGTGTACAGAGTCGAAGGCATGTCACAGAGCTCGAGATGCGCTTTATAATTTTCTCTTGTATTTTACCTTTACTCTGATGCCCCCTGGTGGCGGAATGTAGATACTGCATGATCGTGGAAATGCAAAAGAAAATGTTTGTCCCAGAAAAATCTACTCAACTTGTACTTATGCAAAGCTAAGTGGATATTCTTGCACCTTAAAGACTGAAATGGAAAAAAATAAATACATAAATAAAACTCAACTATACATTATTACAAAATAATAGATGCAGGCAGAAGGAATTATTTCCAAATAAAAATTTTCAATAATATAATAATAAAAAATAAATAAAGAAAGAAATCAATACTTAAAGTAATGCATTATGTTACTTCCATAAACTATCCCAGGACATATACTACACAGATACATTGTATCAGGAAGATACATTGTATGTTTTAGACTTAGACTTAGACTTAGACTTGACTTTATTGATCCCTTGGAAGACTCCCTCAGGAAATTATAGTTACCAGCAGCTCACAGGCAAAAATGTGGCACACAGTAAGCATACACAAAATACAAAAAAATACAAATTAAATACAAAACAAAGAATATAAATACAACACAAAAGGAAATTATAGCAATTTGGTTGATAGATTGACCAGTGATATGGTATTGCACTGTATGGTTTGGCCTGATAAATATGGAGTTCACATTTGTAGAAAAACTACTCCTTCTTCCCTCTGTCCTGTGTCACCTCCGACCCCCCAGTGAGGAGTTGTACAGTCTGAAGGCGTGGGGGACAAAGGAGTTCTTGAATCTATTGGTCCGGCACTTGGGAAGCAGCAGTCTGTCACTGAACAGGCTCCTCTGGCTGCTGATGACGGCGTGTAGAGGGTGGCTGCTATCGTCCATGATGTCCAGCAGTTTGTTCAGTGTCCTCGCCTCTGCCACCGTCACCAGAGAGTCCAGCTTCATGCCGACCACAGAGCCGGCACGCCTGATCAGTTTGTCCAGTCTGGACGTGTCCTTCTTGGATGTGCTGCCTCCCCAGCACACCACGGTGTAGAAGAGGACACTGGCGATCACTGACTGGTAGAACATCCACAGCAGTTTGCTGCAGATGTTGAAGGACCGCAGTCTCCTCAGGAAGTACATCCTGCTCTGCACCTTCCCGTACAGGTGGCTGGTGTGTTTTGACCAATCCAGTTTACTGTCCAGCCACAGCCCGAGGTACTTGTAGGAGCCCACGACCTCAACCTCCGTTCCCTCTAGTACGACTGGTCTCGGCTTTGGTCTGGACCTCCCAAAGTCTATAACCAGCTCCTTCGTCTTAGAGGTGTTGAGTTCCAGGTGGTTTGTGTGGCACCAGAGAGCAAAGTCCCTCACCAGACAGCGATATTCCTCCTCTCCGTCGTCCCTGATACATCCGACTATGGCTGTGTCATCAGCATACTTCTGTATGTGACACAGCTCCGAGTTGTAGTGGAAGTCAGAGGAGTACAGGGTGAAGAGAAGAGGGGCCAGCACTGTGCCCTGAGGGGCTCCTGTGCTGCTGACCACAGTGTCAGACACGGTGTCCTTTAGCCTGACATACTGCGGCCTGTTGGTGAGGTAACTATGGATCCAGGTGACCAGGTGCTGGTCCACTCCCATGCTATTTAGTTTTGTCCTGGAGCAGAAGGGGCTGGATTGTATTAAAGGCACTGGAGAAGTCCAAGAAAAGGATCCTCACTGTGCCACTGCCCTTATCCAGGTGGGAGTGGGCCCGGTGCAGCAGGTAGAGGATGGCATCCTCCACACCAACATCTGCCTGGTAGGCGAATTGCAGGAGGTCCTGAGCATGTTCCACCTGAGGTCTGAGGAGGCCGAGGAAGAGCCGCTCCAACGTCTTCATCAGGTGTGAAGTGAGTGCCACGGGCCGAAAGTCATTCAGCTCGCTGGGCCTGTTCTTCTTGGGCACTGGGACGATGCAGGATGTCTTCCAGAGGGTGGGCACTTCCCTTAGCTGCAGGCTGAGGTTGAAGATCCGCTGTAGTGGCTCTCCCAGTTCAGCAGCGCAGGTCTTCAGCAGCCTTGGACACACCTGGTCCGGCCCTGCTGCTTTCCTGGGCTTGAGCTTCCTCAGCTGTTCTCTGACCTGGTCTGTGGTGATGTGGGGTGGAGGTTGTGCTGAGGTGTGTGGGGGGGTTGTCAGTGTTTTGTTGTCTGTGGGGAGGTGTGTGGTAAGGAGCAGAGGTGGCTGCAGTGAGAGAGGGGGTTGGGGGGGCACAGACTGGTTGAACCTGTTGAAGAAGTTGTTCAGTTGGTTTGCCCTCTCCATTGTTCCCTCAACGACTCTGGTCTTTGTGTTGAGGCCAGTGATGGTCCTCACACCTTCCCAGACCTCCCTCATGTTGTTCTCTCTCAGCTTCTGCTCCACCTTTCTCCTGTAGCTGTCTTTTGCTTCCCTCACACACTGCTTCACCTCCTGCTGTGCTGCCTTCATGGCCTCTGACTTGTAAATGGTTGTAGGAACAGGACATCTCATATTATTATAAAATGTAGTAGTGTGTCTGGTTTTGGGATATGAGATGGCCAAATCCATGGCCACACCCTGATGTCAATAAAAGATGGGGGGCAGGACTCAGTAAGCTTAAGTGCTGATTGGATTACACCACTAGTTCCTGCTGGCAGGGGGATAAGGTAGTTTTGTTTAGATAAGTTTTGTATTTAAGTAAACATTAGTATTTAAAGTTTAGTTTTGATTTTCATTTTTGGGTCTTTAGTTTAGTCAAACTTAGCTGTACTATTTGTTTTTGTGTTATTTGTATTCTTTTAGTTACTCCTATTGTGTCTTGGTCTGATCAACCAGTATATAAACCCTTGTGTGTCATTTTTTGGTTAGGTCAGTTATGTTTGTTTGTGCAGCAAATTTACTTACATTTTTCCCTGAGTTCAGTTTTGTTTCTTTGACCTCTTTTTATGAGCTCAGTTTATCTTTTGTCATTTATGATTTTTGGGTTAAAATAAAAACCCTATTTTTTCTAAATATATCCTGTGACTCCTCCTGTATTTTTAACTCGGTCCATCACAGGATATTTTTAGTTAAAATTTTGTTCTTCATTCAGTACAGTTACTGGCAGTGTGTGGACTAGCAAGAAATTTCACTCAAGTAAGAGCAGTGACGCTTTAAAATAGTATTAATAACACAAATTTAAAAAGTACAAAACTACTCCAGAAAGTAATTTCCTCCCCCCCCCCCCAATAAAAAAAAAAAAAAAAAAAATTACTTTAGTAAATGTATCTGAGTAAATGTAGCTAATTACTACTCACCTCTCTAAATGTATTGGACCATTTAGCATTGCTAATGGCAACAAGATACAGTGAAAGGGAGAAACAGCCTGATCTGAAGAGTTTATAAGGCCAGAGGTCAAAGTTCAAGTTGCAGTAATCTGTGGTGTCTGAGTCTTGAAATGACATTGAAGCCAAAATCAGCTCAAAAAAGTCCATAATGATATATGTTAACAAACACAGTTAACTGTTTCTTAAAATCAAAAATGTTACACACCTTTGCTTTTTAAATACTCCTGTGATCACTTTAAGTTCAAATCTTCCAAAATTCTTGTTTCGGAATGGACTTATTAATGCATCTGTTTGCAACTTACCTTACTGATTGATTGATTGATTGATTGATTGACAAATTTCCTGGTGTATCTTATAAAGTACCAAAGTTATACTTGCTTCAAAGGGTATGAATACTTCTGTACCAGAGACTGTCTGGTGAGGGCTGAATTTTATTGCTTAAAAAATTGTATTCATACGATCCATGTAAAAATGTGCTAATTCAGAATTTCCCCCATTGTATTATAAGCCTGGCGGGCCGCTAGGCTTTACTTGTGCCACCAGGCTAAGCATTGCTTATTTCTTTAAGTTTTTGTTTTTATTTATATTTGCTTTTTTAATACCTTATAGCTGGTGTTTAAGTATTAATCTTCCAGTGTTTTAACAACACATAATTGTCAATTTTCAAATTTCTTGTCAGCTTTAAGCATTTTTTAAATCAATAACCATGACGGCCCGCTGGATGAATGACTGCTCCTGCGACCAACCTCCGGGCTCAGCAAGTTTTCTAGGGGAAACCTTGTAATTGCTAACATGCTATCTGAAATTAATAATGTGTGTAAACGAAGTTGCAAATAAATCTCTTCTGTGTTTGCCTCTTACTCCTATTTTTTTTTCCTCCTCCTTTTTTTTCTGTGCTACCAAAAATCCCTCCCACCCAAAAAAGGCGATATTTGAAAGACTTTTGCCTGGCTAAAAATAAAAACCAGTAAAATTAGATCTTTGGTTTAATGTCTTCTAATGATAGGACGTAAAAAGCCAACTGCTGGGCGGGGTATGGCTCTCATCAGCATATCATTAGTGGTCTGTACCCTCTTCACTGCCGCTGTGAAGTGGAACTTCAGAGATATCACTGGAGTTGCTTCCATCTGTTCCTAGATCTTCACCTTTTCTCACTTAGTGTCAGACCAAACCACCTTCTGGTTGTAATAAAAAGAAGTACACCATGTGTTAAATCTTGGATTTTACTTCTCAGGACATGAAAAATGAATCTGGTTAGAAGGCCACTCTTATTAATTTCACAAAATCAGATGCAAAACCTCGGCGTGTGTTGTACTCGTCTTATACTTACCCAGTATTTCTGGGTAATCTGTCCAATCCTGAAATAGATTTTTTAAAAAAACCCTCCCCATCAAAACCGTTAATAAATTCACAACAGAGCTACTGATGAAGAAAAGAAAGTATCATAAAATGTTTTTCCTTCAAAGTCTTTTTGGCACATTTTGAAGTATCACATGAGAAAAGGCTGATGTAGCTGGCAAAACTTTAAATAACTGCCTCAGTTTAAAATAAACGTAGTTTTTAAGTTTGCTGGAGGTGTTTTTTTTTTAATTATTATTATTAATTTGGTCTTTCCAATTAATAAATGATATGAAGGGAACATGAAAAAACGTAAAGCGATTACGTTCCATAACGTAACAAACGTAGCCACCCAGTGGTGGTGGGTCTGTGCCTTACCAGAGGCACGAAACTATGAAAAGTTTCAAAGTCTGAATTTCAGGGGACTTGCTGTTTCTCTGAGGTGTATGGTCCATGCTCGTTTGTCACCTCTACATCTTGTTTACTGCAGCCATGCGTCAACACCTGACAAAATTATGCTTCGCGTAACTTGTCGATGGAAACACGACTAATTTACATGTTCTCTCTTTTTTATTATTATTATTATTTTATTTTTTTTGCGTTATCTGAGCATGATGCTCAAAATGAACATTACAATTGGAGGTAAACATAGCGAGCTTGGTGTTATCGTTACTGTGCTGCTCTGGCTGAATACTTAAAGACAAAACCAGTAAAGCGAAGCAATGGAGCAAGCTGCGTGTCCTTCGCACAATTTGTCATCAGAATCGGTTTACTTCTCAAAACTGCAAAAATGTTACAGACACCAGGGATGGTGTCAGTGTCGCAGATAATACATTTCCTTTAAGGACGATAAAACAGGTAAATGATGACGCAGAAACAAAAACTGCTTCACGAACCCATCTAGTATGTTCTGAAGCCGCAGAGGGACTAAGAGCTCACATTGCCCCCTACTGGTAGCTTTTTATTTCTGCCATAACATTAGGTGCCAAATTTTGATATTTGAAATATTCAGAAAAACGCATAAATGATCTCAGTAGCAAAGATAAATACGATAATAATAATAATCAGATGATACAAGTCATTACTTTCTTTCGCATCTCACATTGTCACGGATGTTGTCGTTTGGATGAAGGCCGGGACAGAAAGTAATGGGAGAATCATGGCATGAAATGTTTTTCAGTGACTTTTGTTTTGTGTTTTTCACACTAACAGATTTTTTTTTTTACAGCAGATAGCTGTAAGATGGATAGTGGGCTGAGATGTCGCTGTCACATTACTCAAACGAGCAAAACAGATGCTGTGCTGGAAAAGGGTCGCTTGTTGACCCCCTCGCTGCAAGGTCATGGATAACAACAGTCATACCCCATTGCTTTAAAAGACCTTTGCTGTTTTATTACTTTCCCCCCCTACAACAGCAAATTACAGAAGCAGTATTGAAAATAAAAGTCTTGTTTTTCTTGTAAAAACAAACAAAAAAAACTAAATAAAAATCTGCACAAAATCTGAATGACAGTAAAAAATGAAGTGCTAACATTGCATGTACATGTACGGGGAGGGGATGTTCTTTCTTTTAAAAAAATCTGTTCTGTCTTTTCAGTAATGAAAATGTCTCTTTTTTTACATTGTGGATCCATTCCAGAAAATCTGAAATTCTCCTTAAAAAAAAACAACAAAAAAACGAGCACAAGTTGATTTTTTTCTCTTTTGACGTTTTTTTTTTCGTTTTTTTTTTTGTTTTTTGCAAATGAACACTATAAACACATAGACCTCTTAAATATATTTCTCAGTGCAACATTGTTGGTTTCGAGTCCACGCTACAGAATCCGTTTTGTTTTTTTGTTTGTTTTTTTTTCGTCTAGCCTGCTTCAGCTACCGTCCTCTGAAACTGAAAGCAGAGGAGAGCGGGGTCATCCGATTTGAAATGAGATAAAAGAAAAAGCTAGGAGTGTGTGTCTGCGCGCGTGTGCATGTGTGTGTGTGCGTGCGTGCGTGCGTGTGTGTGTGTGTGTGTGTGTATACACTACGGCACGACATACAAAGCGCACAGATTTAAAAGACGTCACCTTTCTTAGATACAAAAATTGATCAAGTTCGTGATTGGTTGGTGGTTAGGCAAACCGATGAAGTTTCATCGTAGGGCTCGCAGGCTCCGTCATATGTGTGTGTGTGTGTGCATGTCCTCGACATTCTCTCCATCCGAGTGTATTATGATGGGATTGTCTCATCCGTCCATCTGCAAACATGTCGACTGAGATTGTAAAAGCTCACACTTTTAAAACACCAAAATGATCTAGAAAAAAATCCCCAAAAAACCAAAACACTTTGTCAACAATTTTCCACAAGTGTCCTGGTGTTTCCCCCTCCATGCCTGAAGGGTGATCGCTTGATGATGAGCTGTATTCTTGCTGTACTCTCTTGTCGGTGAGAAGCCCCTGCAGTCAAGAGGTGTGTGTAAGCGTGCGTGTGTGTGGAGGGGCAACAATCCTTTGGTAAAGCCACGGAGGGATTCCCAGATAACCTGATTCAGGCGATGCCGCTCGATCCCCCGCCGTGCCGTTCCAATGACATCGGCTCTGACATCACGTCGTTATGGCTGCTACATGTGAAATTCTCGCAGGCCCTAAGCGAGACCTTTCAGCTACACGTCTGGGTTCATCGCGAGACACGTCCATGTCCGGCTGAACTACCGATAGCACCGTCGTTCAGTGAGCGGGTCGGCTCCTCGTTTTATTCATTTATTATTTTTTTTAAAAATCGGCTTCCTATCAACAAAGTGCATTCAAGCCGCATTGTTCAGATAGCACTTCTTCTTACAGTGAACATCCACAGTGATACTGGAGGAAAAACAAAAGACAAAAATGATAACAATAATAGAACGTCGGTTGATGGTTTTCCTTTTGGTATGCTGGTCGACATATTTAAATATATATTTTGACGTAAACATGTCTAATTTTACCCTTTATTTAGGCCTATGTCAAATGAGACATCAGCAATGGAGGATGTTTTTCATGTGCACGTTTTACCCTTTTATTCATCCATCTTGTGAGTTCCTTTTTGTTTTTTGGAAATGAAAGATGGCTTCAACGCACAAAATCAGCGTCTCACACACACACACTCACGCACAAAATCAGTCTTGCTTGCCTGAGCAACGGAATCTACGGCCGACGCCACACTTCTGCACAAAACAGTCAAAAGTTTGTATTTACACACATACACAAACACTCTAACACACTCACACTAATGGAGGGGAAAAAAGGGATACCGCAGCTTTTTTTTAACTTTTACTTTCTTTAAAAAGGGAAATAAAATATATTAAAACTTATTTACAAAGGGTTTTTTTTTCTCGGACAGGAAAAACGAAACAAAACAAAAGAAAAAGCGCTGCAATAAACTATAGTCCTGTTTCGCAGGAATTCGTAAGGTAATGTGCCCCTGTTTCCTTTCATTATAACTTAACCCTAATATAATTAAAAAGAGAACTCGGTTCAACGGAAAAGGCCAACCAAAAGGTACTAAAGGCACTGTCAGAACCATACGTGAATGGGACCCGAACTGCAGGGTGGTCAAAGGGGAAAAGGACCGGGGTCGCGCTCGTTACGCCGCCCTGCAGTGGCAAAATATACAGTTTAGTCGGGACATGGTTCTTTAAGGGTTTCGACACGTCTCTTTCAAAGCGTGAAGAGAAACAACAGCTTTCATGAACTGATTCTACAAACAAAACCTCCCCCAACACATTTCTCTCCAAACACCCCTCCCAAAAAAAATGATAAATACTTTAAACATTATTAATAAATTGGTCTCAACACCAGCATCCGATTGTAGAAATGAATGAAAATCAAAATACAAAATTATAATATCATCTAAATCATCTGTACATACTTTTTTGTTTGTTTTTTCTCTTTTCTTGTATTTTTTATTTTATTTTTTATTTGTACACAGTGTCCCCTACTGGTAGGTTCTTTTTACTGCAGCTCCTGAGAAAAAAAGCGTGGATCAGTCCAAACCTCCCACTGGTTTCCTGAACCCTGACCCTCATCTGTTGAGTGGAGGGTGTTTGGCAGTTCTGCTGAGCCCGCTTATGGGGCTGGCATACAAAATATGCCTCGAGATTTTTTATTTTTTTTTTCATTCTTCTTCTTTTTGTGCGAGCTCTGCTCTGTCTTTCAGTCTTGTGTCGGCAGCCTGACCCATCTCATGCCTCTGAGTATGAGTTCTGTACATTGAGTTTGTCCTTTTTTAGCTTAACCCCGTCCACCAACTCAAAGTTATAGTTCTCCAGGGCCGATAAGTTCCTCTCCGACATGCCACCGTGCGAGCAAGCACAGTACAGGACCACGCCGCAGATGGCCCCCAGGAAAACCCCCAGGGCCGACATGGCGATGATGGTGATGAGGATGGGATTGAGAGTTTTAAGCATGTTGCCAGCGCCGCTGATCTGGTTAGTTTCTACCAGGTCTGGATAGTCGGTGATGTCCTCAACTGAAGGAGAGAGAGCAGAAACAGTGGATTGTGACAAATTCAGAGAAAACCTATTAATACTTCATGATCACTGAGCTCCCAAAATCACAGAAACCAGGGCTGGCTTATCAGTGCATCCTTAATAGAAACTGATGAAACTCCATTTGAAGTGGCTTACAAATTTCGTTGATATTGTCCTCCGGTAGCACTGACTCAGTGGGCACATCAGGATCTACAAAAAACAAGAAATTACAGATTAATCCAGTACTGAATGGAACATCTTCCAGACCAGCACAAACACAAGAACTGGACTGTCATCCACACCTTCACAATCTGATTTGCCAAGCCCGTCGAGAACCTTAATGTCATCCACAGCGATGTCTCCCCAACTCTTCCTCTGCACAAGACCCTCAATCACCACCTTTGACATAAAAGCATATGCAGTTTAAGTCAATCTGATGTTCAAGTTTCAGAGAAAAGCAGGTCAATTGACGAGACACTGACCTGATAGGGTTTGCTGATTCGCGGGACAAAGACACGCCCTTCTCTCCAGCGATTGCCTTGGTGACCACTGACCGTCCAGAGCAGGATGTCAGCAGTTCCTTCCTCAGTCTTCTCGCGCTGTTTGATATGCAGTGTTCCGATGTGTGACCCGTGCATGTGGTACCAAAAGGACACGCACAGGTCGGAGTCCTCAGAGCTGACCACGGGACTCACTAGTCGAGCCACTTCACTCTCCTGGAGACCAGTCGCTAGCGTATAGATGAAGTTTCCTGACCCCCCTGTTGGATAGTTAAATTTAGTTTACCTTGGGGTAGAAATGAGTACAAAGTTACTTTTCTGTGTAGGCCAACAGATTGAGGTACTCACCTGTGTGGTCCATGTTGGGGCCGGTGTTGAGAGTTGGGGTGCCGCTGGACTGGATCTGCCAGCTGGAGCCAGTTTCCTCTGGAGTCCAGCGGCAGAAGGAGGGATCATTGGGCCAACCAAAGTCACAAGCAAACCACAGAAAGGCTGAAAGCAAGTTGAAGACAGGTCAAGCGTTAGTGAGAGATCTCATTTCATTACAAAGGCAGAAATGTCAATCATTTGGACTACTGCTTTGGCTTGAATCCAGACAATTGTTGGCTTGTAGCCTGTAGTCATGATCTGACCACAGGCGACAAACAAGAACATCCTACTCTACTCTACAAACTCTAGAGGGCAGCAGATCACTGTAGAACAAATGCCTCAAGTCCCACTTGTTGGAGAGACAAAAGTTGGAAAATGAAATCAAAATGTGACACAAGACAGAGAGAAGTGTTGGTGAAGACATCACACCATCCTTTTATCACGACTGCGCTTAATGACATCTCTTAATGAATGTAACAGGGTTGAGTAGAGAACAGACGGGGAGGCATGCTGGGAACACTCGGCAAACAATGACGGGGGGATGGAGACGACAAGGTCTGGACACAGCTTAGAAAGAGACATTCAGAGCATCCCGCTGAGAGATGAGGATTTTAATGAGAACGGGGACTTGAGATTTCAAGACCGCAGCGCCGAGGCGCCGTTCCAACTGCGCGGTCCCCCACGGACCTACGGCGTGCCGGAGCAGCCTCCGCAGAGGCCAGGAAACGTGCGAGAGCTTTTGGACAAAGAAAGACTTCCAATCAACACACGGGAGAGGGATGTTTGGAATGTTAGGCATGGTTTTAAGCTCCAGCAGGAGATGCCTTCAGAGATATAATGAGACTGCCTTCCAAGTGACAAAATACATGAGCCAATATTCCCTTTACTAACGGCGAGGGTTTAACTAGCTTCTTCAGGCTACGACTCCATTTTCCCATTAAGCACAAAGGTTCGAATTCTCATGTTGAACCACATTACAGATTCCAAGCCACGTTCACATATAAATCCCACTCCCAATTAAAAGGCGTTTGACTTTATTTTTTTGGTTCCACTATTGGAGGGCTTTGACTGAGGCGGCCAACAAGCTCTGGATAAGATGAGCAGCCACATGACGCATTTGGGCATTTCATTAAAAGAAAAGAGATGGTTCCCTGCTCAGTACCAATGGAAACTAGATCCTTGGAGATTAGGATGCATAGGAAACATGCACCGCACAGACTCAGGACACATAAACATGAACACATATATGGCTAGATTCTACCGACATGGAATGTCTTTACCCTTAGACAGAAAGTTTAATTGAATGCAAAGTGAGATTTTTGGACTGGTCTCGATCTGGGCTATTCTGGCATAAGAATATGCTTCAGTCTAAATTATTGCACTGTAATATGTTTATGGCCTTTGATGCATGGATGGAGTGTTCAACAGTGTCTTTCCATGTCGGCCAAACATAAAAGCTATTTTCTCATCTTGCCAGGTCAGGGTATCTTGGATTGTCTCTTACATTGTCTGTGGTGAACTGCAGACAGGACGACTTTATTTTGTTACTGTTATTTCACAATGGCTTTGCTTCCTGCCACTCTTTCATAAAGTCATATCGGTGGAGTGAAAGACTAATAGGCGTCCTGTCAACAGATTTCCCCACCTGAGCTATGGATCTCTTGGCTGCTTGCATGATTAATGTGCTCTTTCTGCATCCTTTCACTGTAAGTGGACGTCCACGTTTGCTGTGGTGCTGTACTTTTTCCATCTTCATCCAATAGACAAACGTCCGAACTTTGGCATGTTGTTTTACAGTTTTTCACAGCTTCATCCCTGAGCTGTCTGCTGTTCTTGGATCTCGACAGTGCCGTTTGTTAACAAACACCTGTTTTTATTGCTACGTCAAATCAAACGCAAGTGGACATTGAGCCCCAAACCAAAACGGTAAAGAGTTCAAGGTGTTCAAAGACTTTTGTGAGGCAACATACGCTCATAAAATGAGGTAATTCTCCTAAATCGCTGCGCATTTTCTCTAAAACACAAGGATGAGTTTAAAGCAAACACACAATACATGTCGCTTTCTTCCATTAGGATAGCCGCTGCCCCAGCAGACTGCAGACAGACCATAAAGCCGGCTGACTGAGTAAATGGGGATGGGTGGAGCCTACGGCCCATTAGCCAAGGTCAGACTGGGGTACTTTCTCCCAGCTGGCTCCTGCCTCATCAGCCCTGCTATAGGAGACACTGCTATGTGTGCTTGGCTCGGGACGCGGCCCCAGAGTCCACCTAATTTCCTCCGGTCATCTGCATCGTGCTTCCCGCCAGCTTCATTTTTTTTTGCGTGCGTCAGTGTCGGCCCGGTGATTAGTGATTATGCTGAGGAGGCAGCAGCGGAGCACCGGTGCTAATCATCAGCTACCCTCGTGTCGTGCAATCCCTCTCACCCCGTCAGCAGGAGCCTCTCCGGGCCATATCATCAGCGTTAATAACAGGCCAACGCTGAAGGAGAAGAGGGACCTGCCTGGCGATGGCATTCATTACCTTTGGTTTGCTTCTTTTGGTTTAAAATTAAAACTCAGCAGGTAAACGAGAACAAATCCCTTTTCAGAAACTCACCTGGAATTGGGTCCACTTTTAAAGTTGTGGTCTCTGGCATGGTGGTGCCACCTGTCACAAGACGGAGCAGCAGCACAGTTAGACTTTTTCGCAGGTTGATTCTTTTCTCAGACATCATCTACATTCATGCCAGATAGAGCTGATAACTTCATGCCACTTTCCATTCATTTCCTTCAATACACCCTTTCATCGACTATCGTCACCTATGACTGAGACAGTTCCATGCTCCTCATTGGAGACTGCTGGTTAATGGAGAGTACCAGTGGCGGTGCAGGCTCATTGAGTTACTGGGTTAGTGGGAAAGGAGGCCAACAGGACAACGCATATGAGAGCGCTAATGACAGAAAGATGCAGAGCTCTGCTGCAGAGATGCAGAGACAGGTGTGCGTGGATCGGTGTGTCCCCCACGAGTTTCCATGAGGGGTGTGGGAGAACTGGGAAACAGGAAGACTGACGAGGGAGGTGGGAACTAAAGGTGCAACTAATTAGAGCCGTATCTATCATTGCCAGCTCACATGTAGACGCATGCATGCATGCTGGCGATCGTGCACGAGAGATGCCAGATTGGCTACGCTAAGAAAACTCGGTGGCATTGCGTAAATGGCGGAAGGAAGAGGGGAAGCAGAGTCAGAAACAGAGTAAGAGAGGCGGGAGGGCAGCGGGAGGGTGAGGGAGGGGAGTTTGGACGCAGTCTCATGAAGGCGATGTTAGCACCTGTCACATCGTAGTCATCACCTGTGCCGCTGTGGCAGCTCGCCTGGTCGTCGTCACACTCATCAGAAGGGGTGGTGCTCGGGACCGGAGTGGTCGGGGGGAGTGTCGGAGCTGGAAGACAAAGAGTGAGGGGAGATAGCAATCAGCAGTGATTGGATTTCTGAGCCAAACCGGTATTGGTGAGGAGGCTATATGTTGATGAGTCCGACCTTATGCATATCTGACTGGGTCAAAGGAAAGTACTGCGCTTTTAGCAGGAAATAACAAAACATCTGCACGCAACAGTCGTCATGTCTGAAAGTCCTCAGTTTTCATTTTGATCTGCGTCGTTTAACCCAATAAACAATAATAATAATAAAAAAATGCAGTTTCAACATTATCAAAATTTCAGATATGCTTTAAAATAAGATGTGATCACTCTTGACATACAGGTCCCATTTTTCAGCCTGTTTTTGCCCAGTCAGGCTTTTTACATAACTGTAAAACAGCACTATATACTTTTTGTAAAGCAGTTGCATTTACATTGACTGTATAATTGTGCAATTTGATAATTAAAAAATAAATTTGCTGCAAACATGCCAATTTAGAAAAAAAAAATTTTCTTGATAAAACATTTTGGCAGTAGGAAGAGTTTTTTTTCTTTTGGCCATATCAAAATTGATTTATTTTGCAAAACTACAATCGAAACGACAGGAAGTCGGTGGACTGTGATGACGCAGCATATTAGTAAAGACATCGTGTGGACAAAATTATTCATGTATTGAATAATATTGACAAAGTTTTCCACACATTTGTAAAGGAAACAGATGAGATTTTCTGTCACGATGTTGTAGACCAGACCTCCAGGGTATTTGTATGATATATTAGTCTTTGTGGTTAAAAAGAAAGCTAAAAAAAAAAAAAAAAAAAAAAAAAAATCAAATACATGGAAGTACCCCAACCACAACCACATACTAGCTTTCAATGTCAGCTTTTAATTCTTTTTTTTTTCCTTTGGCTGGAGCTTTAGCAATGCTCCTTATATGAAGTTGAAGAGGTGTGGGTGTATAAGTACAGCCTTGACGTTAGCGTATGATGCTTAAGCGGTTGAAACTACAAGATGCAAAAAAAAAAAAAAAGACATCCAAATGGCTACATAGGCAGGGCAACCATGGCCTATCATTACAGCCCTGAATCACTTCGATGTGGGTAAGGCCCAACATCCACTCCACGCTCCGCAGCCGCGAAGCCGTCCTGCGGTGCGAGCGTGCATTTGTAAGTTTTTATACCGTCTGAGTAATGATCGGGCTTCCCCGGAGCAGAGACAGGAAAGAGAGCGAGGAGAGAGGTGGAGCAGGGAAGAGCCGTAGACAGATGGGTTGGGGGGTCGAGAAAGTGTGTGTGTCGGCCTCCGCTCGATGAAATATGAGACTGATCAGCCTCTGTCAGATTCAGGGTGGGAGAGGTCAGGGATGGGGTCAGCGCTGCGTTAGGAAACCCTCTTACAGAAATGAGGACTTAGCCCTCCTGCTGTGGCTCTTACTGGACACACACACGCACTACGCACACGCTTCCAGAGACAGATAGGCACCTGCGTATGTGTGTAATTGTATACGTTGTCCTTTTAACCACAACCTTGGTGAGGTACTTGCGGTTGCTGTGAGTGCATCAGGCTCTATGACTCTGTCTGTTTTTGGCATTAACAGTGAAAACAAGCATTATCGTCTGTCTGAAGCTCCCAATGGGAGTCCATCAGGTTCATGAGAGAACGGACTTCCCTGAAATCCAATATGTAAATCCGCTACCACACCACTAGGCTCTTTCTGTGCAACGCAACCGCACAAAAGTGTTGCTCTTCATTTCTTTAAATTTAGTTTCCAACAAAAAAAACAACAACACTTTTTAAAATAAAATATTCTAAAATAAAAAGTTTGCGAGGACCTGTTAAAAATGTTATTTGGTCAGTAAAAGAGAAGTTTTTACCATTTTTAAGCCAGGTTGTACGTTCATCATCAGGTTACAAACTATACAGATGGACCAGTGAGATGTGAACACCCAGCAGGTCGGCTGCAAACTGCTCCTCGCCTGCAACCTGTTGCAAAATTAATATACATTCTGAAACAATCTCTTTGTTCAATTTCAGGCACCGCATGGATTCGCCGCTTGCGTTATGCTTCGTTTTCAGGCTCATTGTAAGAGGTTTAAAAAAAAAAAAGAAAGTTAGTTGTGAGCGCCGATAAAAGAAAAAACCTTGAAATACCTTCATAAAGTCTAGGGATCAGAACCCTCTCAGCACAAAACCTCAGACCAAGCCTGACGTCGAGAGCAGCTCGGTCATTTCTGCATCTGCTCCCAGAGAGAGACCGCTAATAGATAGAAACAATATGGATCAATTCAAATATACCAAAGTCCTCTGGCTCCTTTGAAAGACCAAAGACGAGGACGGGCTGTGAAGAGGGTGATGGGGGCCAGGCGGCAGCAAACCGAGGAGGCCAGGTGGGCTTTTATTTGATCCCCTCCAGAAGTGGCCAGCCACGAGGGCAGCTTTGATGTAACAGGGAGACGAGACAAACCGTCCCTTGTTGGAATAAACAGCGTGAGCTGGACAGCTGCGTGCCGAACACAGGGAGCCTTTATGCCCATCATTTAACAACCAGGGATGTTGCGAAGAGATGACGCGAAAGCTGCGTCTCGTCATGTTATTAATCTGGTTGACAGATTGCTCACCTCGCCGAGCCCGACACATCGCACGTGAAGAGACGTACCATACTGTAGGCTCCGACTGTGACAACTCTTATCTGGATGTCCCTACTGTACTCACGTCATCGCCACGGAGAGAAAGTAATCGCCGGTTTTCACCTCACCGCTGGGAAAGAAAATTTGATTATGCCGGCTAAACGTGTTTCTGCTGTCAACGGCAAAGATAAAAAGGTTTCACTTTGCCACCAAGAAATCCCGCCGGCCCTCGCGGCAGCCAGCCGAAAGCAGCTGTTTACAGACACCGTGAGGACGATGCAGAACCATAAACTGTTCCCGCTTCAGGTCAGTTAGAGTTTCCAAATATTAGTTGTGTTTTTAGAGGTTTTTTTTTAAAGTTTACATTCATTTTCTTAGTTTTTAGTACACTGCATTTTTGGGGTTTGGGTTTAAGACCCATTCACACCCAAACATTAACTTCTTGTGTTCTTCAATATCTCCACATAATATTTGTTCACCATGTCGCCATCGATTTAGCTATTTCGCATCTTCCTGATGCCTCGATTGATTCTTGTTTTAGTTTCCACAATATCTCGCAAGGGAGCAGTGTGTTACCTTAAAGCACATCCACAGGGAAGGGGTCCATTTAAGTCAAGTTGTTAATTATTAAAGGTTTACAAACCCAATGATCTCTCCGTCTCCAAAGTATCCTCAGTGTGTGTAAACTTCACAATTTGAGGAAATGCTTTCTGCTCCTGTTTACCTTCAATCTCGCAGCCGAGGAGCTCAAGGCGCAGGCCCATCCCAGCAGGAGTGGCCCTCTCTGGGTAAATTCTGATGAAACGGGTCAGCAGGGGCTCCACTGTCCTCAGCTCAGGAGTGTCGTAATTACTGTTACCTTCAAAGATCTGGCACAGAAACAAACGACAAGAAAAGAAAAGAGAACTGTAGGCACAACACGTAACATGCTGCGCATGCACCCGAGCGCGCTCTCTGGGATTCTTAGTGCGGCGTGCTGAACTTTACAGCAATGCGCGTGGGTGGCGAGCGCCGGGTTTGGCGGAAAGTAACAGGAGACTGGCGGGAAATAAAAGGCGATCAGCAGATCTGTGGTCTTGCTGACATCTAAACTGCAGCATACGTGGGTGACACGGAGGGCATGAAAAAACGCAAAAAACACAATAAAAAATAAAACAGCATGACGCAGACCTTTTCGTCAAAAAGCAACTTTCAGCTCCCTGAACTCTGCCTCAGATCTGTTGCAAACAAACAAATAGCTGCTGGAGGGGGAAAAGTGGGAGATGTAGGATTCGGGAGAAAGCAAAGAGGAAGCTGGAGGACTGATGGAAGTGGATTAATGAGGGTGATCACGTGAGAGAGCCTGATGCACTGTAGATGCTTGGGTACCTCTCTGGCGAGGTAAGAGAGGCAGCTAACTAGGACAGTCGGGGGTATGGATCTCTCTTGCTCCCATCATAAATCAACCATCAGCCCATCTGGATGAGATTTATGCCCTGCCAGGGACAATTGTAATTGGGGACGGGGTGTTGCAGCTCCTCTTGAAAAAGTATGTGGCTCTTTATGAGAACATGATGTGTGTGTATGTGTGTGTGCATACATCGTGCGATTAGTGGAGTGCGTGTTCTGTGGACGCAGCAGAGCTGGTAAATAAATCTTTGGTCATTTGCTCAATTAGGAAGTGATTTCTTCTTCCTCTCCAACTAGGTCCTCACTGTCCCCTGACAGACCTGAAGAGTGCGACTCGCACGTAATGCCAAGCGGGGTGTGGGAACTTGGGACTGCGATGTTTATTTGAATGCGATCCAAAGATCGACTCGCCGTGACTGCTTTATTACTCACAGCTGGCAGCTGAGATGCTCTGGCGAAAATGGACCAAATTCATCATAATCAGAAACAATGTACAGATTTATCTGAGATGTTTTCAGAAGCACCTTTCAGAAAGTCAGAAAGCAAACCATCTATTTGAATTTGTTGCCTTGACAGAAATGTGGACTTTTAAAGGAGCGGTGCTAGGTGTTTTCCAGGCACATAGTGCCATATTATTGCACAATCAAGTAACTATGTTAACTTCAGTTGTTAGAAAAAGTCTGTATATATCAAATTTGACTTAAAAATTTTGACTTTGTATGCAACACCTTGAGTGGGGGAGTCATAAGGGAAGTCTGCTTTGCATACTGTGGAGACTTGGAAGCTTGAAAAGGAGGAGCTTCTTTTTGAAGGCGGGGCCAGGTCCACCCAGGCATTTGGCACAGCTGAATGGTTGCCCTGGGAGATGACATCTCCCCACAGAGATGGATGTGGGGATCTCAAAAGAATCAAAGCAACACTCCAGGTATATTTTCAATGTGTGAATAACACCGTAACATGTTGTAAACTCAAAAAGGTTAATTTCACATAATATTGCCACTACTACATGATCATTCTTAAGCGACTTGGTTCTAGTAGATGATTTGTCGAATAAAACTAGGTAGGCTTCCATGGCATTGATGGAGCATTAACACTCTGAGGGTTAAATGTTTGTCACTGATCCACCTGGCCGCTTCGCCAGCCATCCATCATGTTTAATCTCAGATCAGGTTGTAAGGGCAGCAGGTCCAGGTGGGAATATCCTTCTCCCCAATGACTCTGCAGATGATTCTGAAGGATTCCTGCTTGTTCCCAGGCCAGAAGGTTCCTGGCCATGGGAACAAGGCCCCCCCCGCTTCTCTTCTAGGTTGAACATGTCTGGAAAACCTCCAAATGTAGGTTAATTATCTCTAAGGCTGAGCACAGAATGGCTCCCCTTTCAGTCTGTTGCATCTGGAGTCCCACATCTCAGCTATATCAAAACTTATTTTCATTTTGAGTCACATCAAGATTATGAATGTTTTCAAAGAGCCAGATTTGCCAGAATGTACTGATAAAATCCAGTAACAAATTGTTAAAATATGAATAAATACAAAAACTTTTCACATTGATCAAACGCCTGGATTTTGTGATTGTTTTTTGTGATTTTTTTTTTTGTTTTTTGTGCTGAAGTAGAAATATTTGTGGAGAACAGCAATATTTGTGCTGATCCACGACGCTAAATATGACTTTTTGTCCCTGATTGATTCAATGTTATTTAAGATATTTATAACCTACCTTTGGTTTGTTTCCGCTGGTGTCATACACCACCCTCCAGTCGGAGCCGTTGTTGCTGTACCCGAGGCGGAATTTCTTCATGAAGACCTTGTTCTCGCGGTATTTCCCTCCCTGGATGATGAACCCCTTCACCAGCTTCTCTTCGCCCAGATCCACCTGCAGCCACTCGTTGGTGAAGGGCTGCGGCTGGGGCAGCAGCGTCCACCCGGTCCTGCTGGTGAGAAGGCGGGCGTTCTCGGGCACCCAGCTCCGGTCGTTGTGAGAGGACGCTGTGATCTGGTTGTCTGTTATCAGGCCCGACACCATGCCCAGCATGCCGGAGCAGGGGTACTCTGAGAGACGAGAGAGGAACAGGAAAATGTGCTTAACTTTTGTTTTGTTTTTGATGCAAATCAAATGAAAATCCTGCAGAGATGCAACGGATGTACAGAAAGAAGTTCATCTTTAACCAAAGGGGTCGACGTCCGAGATCATCTACAGTCGTAATCTGGGAGGAGGCTCATTCCCCAAACGCTTTGTGACGCTACTATGATCTCTACCTCTGTTCTCTGGCTCTCTATGTGTTGGTAGATCTCGTGCATACTAATTCTTCAGCCTGAAGCGATTGTCTCCAGGCAGCCAATTAAAACCCTCTTCCCGGCTGGTGCTTCCACCTCCCGCATTCTGGGAGCCCTTGTTTTTATTCTTCTCCTTTCTGTCTCTCTGCCCCCTCTCCATAGACTTACATGTACTTACACACGAAAACGCAGTCTCTTTGTGCTGTTTCTGCTGCCACAGCAATCATCTCGCCTTCTGCGGCGCAGCTGTCAACATCTGTGGGATTATATCTTTGAACGTATCGTCCGGTGTCCCAGATTTCCTTCGTTCTTTTGAACTACTTCTCTAATCTTGTCTTCAGCTCTTGATGAATTTTAGCTCTTCGCACCTTTTGCATTTGGTCCCAAAGTCAAACGCATGTCTTCCCAGATTTACGTCACATTTGTTTATTTACACTCGAAGTCGAATGAAGGAGGTTAGGGTTAGGCTTGAAACCTTTTGGTATTCAAGCATTTTGCCGTTCCGCCGCCGCTTCTCCGAATCTTTCATTCAAACCCAAAAAGAACAAATCCGGAGACCTTAAGTAGCTTATTATATCTTCCTTGAAGAAAAGCCAACGCTTGTTGTGTTCATTTTAGAAAAAGTGTACATTTTCAGCTTCGCAGATTCGGGGGGTGGAGGGGAGAACAGAACAAATATTTGCAGGACAAGGCCTCTTTCAGGCAATCTCTGCCTATGTGACATGGTTCTGATGAAAACCCATGAGATAAATTCCTGGACCTGCAAACCAAAAACCAGCAATCGCCAAATACACAGAAACATTTTTCTGGGACTTTTCTCCTGTTTTTCTTTCGTTTTAGGCCAAGATGTGTTGAAAGTGATCAGAGGAGCTGGCCTTTGGCTGTGTGAATCTAAGACACTGCGATTATGAACGCCTTTGAAGTGAGGAGAATCCAAGGGAAAGGTGTGTGTGTGTGTGTGTGTAGAGATAAAAGCAACTGATGCGACTCCCCACCGCCCTGGATCTTCTGAAGCTGTTAATCGAGCTCAGCTGCGATTACAGAGGCAGCGCACACGCCGTGACACGCCCCGGTGGAGCGACTGTTTACATTTGTGTGTATGGGTATAAGAGGAGCAACGATGATGCTGGGCTGCCGGCCACGATCGAGGTTTGGGTGGAGCATCGGCGGTTCATCCGAGCTATTTTCGACGCTGCGGCGTATTTACCAACAACTGGGTGGTGGATCCGTTCATTAATGAGTAGCTGTTTGCATCAGAAGGCACGCGACCGCGGTCATATGCGGCGAAGAGATTTGTGACATTCAACCCACCCTCTCTTGTGATCTCCTGGATCTCTGCTTCGACGCGACCGCTCACACTGAACGCCTTTCCTCTCTGGTCTCTGTTACGTTTTGGTGCACTGCTTTGGCTGTTACTGACTCGACGGAAGCGACGGCGAACTCCGAAAACTCTCCGTAGGGTTGAACGTGGAGGAGGAGAGTCGAGTCACAGGGTTTGTGCAGCCCTGCACAGCCTCGGTTTCCCTCTGCCTGACCATGCTGGGAGCTGGCAGAGTCTTCAGAGAACCAACAGGCACTAACGTCATATTGGAGGCCGTGCGGTGACTTCGATCCTGTGATGTATTTACGCGCGGCGCAGCGCTCTGATTATGTGCCCCGCACACAGGCCTCAGCTGTAAACCCCTGCTGCACCCACAGTGCCATCTGCTCTTATAGGACCGACCACGCATATGTGATGCATAAGGGATTCGTTGCCTAAAAATAGGGAGGAGTACCACAAGGGCCCTTCACAATTTTGGTTCCAAATAATCCCAAATAATTCCATCATGAGCTCTGTTAGCGATAATCAAGGTTTGAAAGAAAATGCTGCGCGCCACCATTGAGCTGAAAGAAAGCTACAAGTTTTTTTTTTTTTAAGGTTGCTTTCACACTAGCCCTGTTTATTGAACTTTGTCGGAAGTGAACTGTGGCGCAGATCGAATGCATACATGGATGCAAGTCCAAAACCAGGTGACCGCAAGGCAATGTGGGTAACCAAAACAAATGAATGTGTCTAGCACCAGAGGGAGAACTGGCTTTTGGCCAGAACCGCTAAAATCTGACCCATTTTACTAAAGAGGAAGTTGCTTCTAACATATACAATAACTTAATTGTATAAATAACTAAGTAACATAAGTCGCCCCCAAAACGTGGGCCACTGGGCTACTGCCTCTGTAAGCCCAAAGTTTATAGTCCTGCTAAAGCCACAGAGCTTCACACTAATTAAAGTCCCACTGCTGTCAATAAACACTCACTAAACCATGAACAGTGTCTGTTAGGCTGCCAGCTAAAGGTTGATTTGTTTTTTTCTTTGTTTTTTTGTTTGTTTGTGAAACTCTATATAAAGCTCAATCTTCCACCCACATTTGTTTCCTTGCATATCAAATTTCAAATATCTGATAACTGTTGCTGACATCATCATAACTATAACAATCAAATCCCTCTGTTATTCTAGCAAGATCAGAAGCAATTGACTTATTTCTGATAAAAACCCCCAAAAACAACAAAACAAAATAATCATCATACACGTTTGCATAAATACAGTGAGAACCTCCTTCTGGCCCAGATCTATTCAAGATGTTGACAGAAAAAAAAAAAGACTAAGTCTTTTCTGCCCTTAATTTAGTCAAGCAGGAATCCGAATTGAATACACATGTTCGTATCCCACAGAGACAAAGATAAATGTGATAAAGCCACACTAAATGGAGCCACCGGCATACACACGCTAATTTAAAACATCAACAAAAGGGCAAGGGGAAGAAAACTGTTGCTAAAAATCAAAGTTATATAAGCAAAAAGAAAGAGAAAAAAACAAAAAAAAAAACAAGCTGTGGCTAAAGAGAAGGCTGAGCGCAGATCATGGGCCCACCCAGATCCATCAGCAGATGCATGCCAGCTGTTTACTCTATTTATACTGAATGAGATTCATCTAAACACAAAGTCATGTTAATAGATAATTCCCATTCCTTTGCCACTATTTGGTATTACGCAGCTGGGGAACTGGACTGGGAATGAATAACAGCTAACTGAGGCAGCAGAGTGAGTTTGGAGTTCTGAAATCACTGCAATGAGTTTTGTATTTCCAGGGATGGAAAGGTGAATCATGGGCAATACAGACGAGCATCAGCTGCAGCCAACCTGATATCTTGCAGCCGTAGACCTCGAAGCGCAGCGCTATGCCCGTTTCCCAGGTAACTGGACGGATGCGGAGGAATCGCGTCAGCGTGGGCTTGGGCAGCTTGGTCTTGGTGACGTCCGTTGGGTTGGTGTTGCCCTGGAAAATCTGTGAAAGGAAATATGGGAGGAAAACTGATTATTGACAGAATACAGTGAAGGAGATGCAGCGAGTGAAAGTAGAGGTCATATTAGCTGCGCTTCCTTCAACAATAAAATTGCACAAATTGAATGGAAACATGCCAATCTTGAAAAAAAATTTGCATTTTTGTGTTAGGATGAGGTGGTTTGTCAGCCATATTGAAATAGTACTTGGCAAAACTGCAGTGGAAACACTTTTCTACATCACGAGTCATGTTATCAAGAGCCGGATGTTACTACTAACAGAAATTCAGAAGAAGATGACAGGAAGTGGTAAGAGAACGACGGTTTGTTTTTGTTCTTTTCAGACAACACACAGCTGGCTCCACCAGAGCTCTCACAACTTCACATGGCATACATAGTTGCTCCAATGTCTCCTCTGACAACTGACAGATGATGAGTGCTAATTTCTTATTTAATGGAAACACAACAATTGCAAAATTGCATTTCATTAACATTAGCAGAATTTCGACAGACACATTTGCAGTGGGAACACAGCCGGTATCAAAGAGCAGCTGCACATTCAAGCTGTTTCACGTGAATCTCAAAATTGTATCAACGATTCCTGAACAGACTGTCATGAGTCGCTGAAATGTCAAGAGGATGGGAGGAGCCCTTGCTTCGCATGTCGCAGTCGAAGCAGGGGGAAATGCTGTGAAACCCGAGGCGGGATGTGTAACAGTGATCAGATCCGATTGGCTCCGGGTGCCCTTTCACCGTCCTCCGCTCCCAGATCGGGTGTGGGGGTTTTTACTGCGCCTGTCTTGTCGAAAGGTCAGAGACGCCGGTGTTCTCCCCTGGGGTCAGATGACTGTTTACTAGCGCTACACGACGAGGCCGGCCACCCAGCCGAACGACCGCCTGCGGTCTGTCACAGTTCATTCTGAGTAATTGAATCTCAAAGGTAGCCGCACGGCCTCCTGACCTCCCTGACTGAGGAGTTACGAGGCGGAAAGGATTCCAGCTGAGCAGAGTGGGATGCACAGATGGAAAGATGGCAGTTTAGCTCATCTAAGATGAACTGAAATGTGGCTGGGGCTGATCCATTAGACCAGGCGGCCTGCTACCAAGTCCCTCATCCGGCATACCCGTCGTCTACATCACTGAGGGACCCGTCTAAAGTCGGCCACTTCCTTAAATGCCGTGTAGCATCTCCTCTCTGCTCGCTAACTGTAAAGTGGCTGTCTTTTCTTTTCCTGAGCTGCGCTAAGATGCCAAACTGCAGGCTCAGCATGTAGCAAATGGTACCCTTCCACACAAAAGCACTTTAGAGGCCGGAAAAACACACGGCGAGCTTTAGGCAGCACCTTTAAGCTGCCACTTTACAAAGGGAACAGTGTACTCTGGAGAGAGGCCGTAAAAGAATCAAGCTTGGGGGAGAAAACGATTGTTCGGATGGCCTATTGAGGCTGGGAATTTTTTTTTTTTTGTACTCATTGGGGTTTTTCTTTTTCTTTTTAAACGCCTTATGGGTGTTGCGTGGCACACAAATGAGGGGACTGTGAGGGGCCCGAATGCGTCTGACCCCTCCGGACACCCACAGCTGAAGATGCCTTCGTCTCCAGATGGACAAAGCGGGGCCTATTTGACGAGTCCGATCAGCGATCAATGGTCAGAGCCAGCAACGCTCCGGTCATGCATGCCACTCGGTTTTATTTCCTTCCTGTTTTTTTTTTCTGTCTTTAGTGTTCGAGATCCTCCTCTGCCAGCTGTTAGACATGACAAGCTATTCTTTCATTCGACCTTCCCACCTATTTGTCACCTCATATTGCATTTCTGCTTTCTTGCATGAGGCAAGCAGATACCTACTGAAGTCGCTTGCCACAATCAATCATCTAAAAACAAAAGTTTTACAAAATATACTTCTGGAAGTCGATATAAAGAAATTGTTTTCCAGTTTTGTATATTTGTTAGGGGTGCATTGTCATCTGTATCGACTGATCTCAGACATTTTTCAACTCGTCATTATCTGTTCAAAAAGTAAACGCGCGCCAATATTCTTTCGAAAGCGACACACCAAGCTCCTCTTGCAGGCACAACAATAAGTTCTGACGTACAAACTCTTTTCTGAGTGATGTTTATCTCTAGTTGCTCTGAAATGTTTCAAGACAAGTCAAAGGAAGTCCAAAAGGTTCCATTAAACCGTTTACTAAAACACGCAGAGATGTGTCAGTTTGATTCATTCAGCCTAAAAGTCAATCCGTTAAGTCACCATGTTAAATAAATTAAGTTTGACAAATTTAATTGGATCAACAGTGACAAATAACTAGATTTTTTTAAAATTAAGTTGGAGCGCCATTCTCTTTTGTAAGCGCACACAAATTGATGGTTTTCTAAGAGTGTTGAGATCTGAGTCGTACCTTCTGTTTGGAGCCTTCTTTCAAGGTGATCCAGTCCTCTCCGTTGGAGCTGACGTCTACTTTGTAGGACTTGACAAAGTATATCTTGTGAGTCTCCTGGGAAATGGCACCCTGTGTCCCGATGGCAGAGATGAAGCGCAAAAAGCCGAGGTCCACCTGCAGAAGGGATGGAGATACCATTAGAAGTCTGGGTTTTTATGACACAGGTAACATGCGATGCTCTGTTCAAATCAGGAGAAAACCTTTTAAGATCCACAGTTGGTATTAATAAACCACAAGCAGGTAAAACCAGAGAATCACCTCTGGCCACAGGCTCATCAACTTCCAGCAGGAATTTAATAAACAGCAATGAAACGACGGGCGCATTAATGAAAAAGACACGGGATGACAACTTAATTTCCTGAGATGGGAGACAAGAAGCTGGTGGATGCGACTAGAGAAAACGTCTGGAATAACATTATCAAAATCGGCCAGGAGGAAAGAAGGATACAGAGTGAATATAAAACGCTGTGCATTTAAAATATGCAGGGAGTGTCTAGAGGGGTGGGGAGAGGGAGCGATTACCGACTGCGGTACATTGCCGGACGGTTGACACATTTTCACATAGAAAAAGCCACATGCAGCGGGGTCAGACGGGGAGCTTGAGTCTATCGCCATGCCGTGACTTTTGTTTGATTTATGCGCACGTGGATTTCGCTCATTTGAGCTTGTTTATTTCCAAGGATCCGCACACGGAGCCTGTTCACGAGGGTGACCACAGCTGCCAGGAAAGAGTGAGCGCAGACACCACTTTAAGTTCTGCTGACATCTGTTTAAGTTGCAGCAACGGGATCCAAATTGGCTTCTGATTATGTAAATGATTATGTAAATGTCTACGATAAGTGGGACCAGAGGTCTGAATGACACAAACGGTGCCTTTAAAAGTGAACTGCTACAAACTGGATCTGAAATGTATTTTATGCGATAAACCAAAGGAAAGTAGAGCATGATTGAGAAGAGAAGTGAATGATGTTGCTTTTATAATCTTAGTAGTATTTTTCTGGGTTATTATGAACAGAGAAGTTCACCGAATGGGTTTTGAGAAGACGTATTGACAAAAGCTCTTTCTGAAATTGATGCAGAGAGTTTGATTATGAGTTTGTTTATTCTACAGCAGCCCACAATGCAATGCACGCCTGGCCACGGAAAAGCGTTTGGGTCAAAGTTGCGACGTACTCTTGGTATTTAGTTGGTTATGTTCAATTGACCAAAGGCCTAAGAGCCTGACTACTGTAAACTGATGTTAGCAGTTGTTCTGCATCTGATTTAAGCTGGATGAAGGACGAGCAAATGTGCAAATGTGTTTATATGCGCAAAGAAAACCCACATAGGCTTGGAGCTGTAATTGCAGGTTTTGATGAAAACCACACTTTTCAGGATCTTATTTGTAAAAAAACAAAAAAGAAAACAATTAAAGGGGCAGCATCATGTCATCTTTTTTGTTTGCTTGTTTTACATTCACAACTTGTTATAATGTTATTCCCTCATCATAAACATACATGGGATGTTGCCATGATTCTTCCACACATGTTGGAGAAATCCTTTAATCTCCAAGGCAACCATTCAGCTGTGCAATAATACCTGGTTGGATCTAGCTCCGCCTTCGAGATGCAGCCCCTCCAATTAGAAAACACCTATATGAGCTACTGAGGGAAACGCAGGTAAAAACTTCGCTAAAGGCGGAGTTTCAGAATGAGCAGAAGTTTCTTAAAGAGACAGAGGCCCAATGTCAAGGGGTCAAATTACATCGGCAATTTGATAATTGGTAAATATGGTATTTTCTTAACAACTGAAGGTAACATAGTTACTTGATTGTGTTTTCAAATGGCACCGGGTGCCTGGAAAACACATAGTGGTGCCCCTTTAAAACCACGTGTCATTTCCTTCCACCGCACATTAACTTTTCATTCGTCGATTGAATAAAATCCTGATAAAAGTACATTGAAATGTGTGATCGTAGTCTGACTAAATGTGAACATGTTCACAGAGTACGGACAGCTTTTACCCCCGCAGAGGCTGCTTCACCCAACGGAACTCAACCCCCAACAAAGACAAAAAAAAAAAAAGAAAAAAGTTTGAGCTGAGCTGAGAAACTTTCAAAGAATCCCAACCCCTCTGAGGCGAAAGCAGCGCAACTAGTTTTAACAAGCGTTAGCAGCACCTCTGACAAGCCGAGCTGACATTAATGAGGAGTAATGGTGTTGCGTGCCGGCGCCACTGTAGCGCAGGAGCGGTGCGGGGAGGCAGGGTGTCGGAGGAGACGGGTTTCCAAGATCACGGCGAGAGACGAGATAGGTCCTTTGATGTCGACCTGAGACGGGAACGGGCCCTGATGGATGGAGACCGGCGGATTACTGAATCGACTCAGAGGAGATCTCCTGTGTTTGCACCCGAGGAAGGGAGACAGCTCAAAGATCCTCGCCGCGAGAGCGTATAGCACGCAGACACGGATTGTGTGCGCACACTTTGGGTAATTAAAGCCAGGGTTATCTGCCGCCACACATCTTAACAGGGATCCAGCATGTTAAAGCCATAATGTCAAGAGTCAGCGCCAAGGCCCCCCCACGCTCCCGTCTGCCGGGCCCATATGCAGCAATCCACCGCACTTAATGATTCCAAGCTAAGAGAGCTGGAAAGGAACACGGGCCCTGCCACAGAACGCTGGTCACTCCGGCCCCCTTTAGGTTTCTTCCAGCGGTAAGAAGACATAAACAGATGGGAGCAATAAATGAGATTCCACCGTACCCGTTCTCTCTGTCTCATTCCAACGATTCAGATGGATGGAGCCGAACACACACACGCACACGCACACACACACGCACACACACAGGCACACACTCAAAAATCAGTCATATACAAACAGAATACTGTTGTTCCTGTCAATTGGCTCAGGGGACATTCACAGTTAAACCCCACTTTTTTTTTTTTTTTTTTTGGACCCACAAATAGAAGTAAAATCAAATCCTGTCGGCCTGAGACGGTTTAATGACGCAGGGGCTGAATTCTTCTCTGTGGGGTAAATGGCTGTTTGTGGCAGAGCTTGATGGGAAAAGCAGCGGATGGCAGCGAGGTTTGGACTGCGGCTTCAGCACTGAAAGGTCTCCATTATCTACATCCACAAAGCCCTCCTGACTTATTTTCTGTTTGGACCGAGAGGCAAAAGCACAATGAGGCAGCTTATGCAAAGCTTTGGGCTTAAGTAAATGATAATAATAAAAATAATAATAATTAAAAAAAAAATGTTAAAAAACCGGGGAGCACAGCTGAAGAGAAGCTTAGAATACCTTCTGTGAAAGTGAGTCATTAGGAAGAGACTGAAATGAGGAGGTAGTAATTGGAAACACTTGGCGCTTGCATTTCAAGCCATATACTTTTCAACAAATTACTTATTTAAGGAGCAGTGTCCTAATACTTCAGTCAATCCCCCCTGTCGTTTACATCTGTATTTCTATGATTAACAGTTCATTTTAGGCATTCTGTTATGCACCAGCACAAAGTAAGACACTAGTCTCTTACATGAAACAGTCGTGTCAAAGTGTTACAAACATGAGCTCCTGTTCCAGTCGCTCCTGGATGATCAGGGACATCATGGACGGACAGGGCAGTGGATGACGGTCAAGCAAACTGGGGACGAATCAGATCGCAGACTCCAGCGTCTTTCTCTGCCCGCCTTTCTCACCAAAGCTTTAAAAAAGAAGTGGCAAAAGCCAGCGAGGTGGATCAGCAGCCTTGTCATCGAGAACATCTTGCTATGAAATGTCTCTGCTGTGAGGATGAGCTGTTGACATGCGATGACAGTCATGTTTGACATCAGCGGTGTCTTCAGTGTCTTCTTGAGACACTTCTTTGAAAATACTTGCATGATCTGAGTTACGGCAACATTTATCTCCCCTTTGGGTTTAAAGTACTTTTGAATTTAATTGGACAGAATACATAAACGTATGTTGGACATTTCCTATCCCAGTCGGTTGAGCTCATCACTGACACCTTAGTAGTCTGGTAAAAATCAGACACTTGTACTATTCTTTGCTTGCCCAATCACTAATGTTTATCTGTGAAATTTGTAATGCGCCACTTGACAATATGAAGCTTACCATAACTTGCCTGCGCTCTAAACAACAATCCTATGAAGACAGAAGTGCCAATTCAAACAAGGCGGCTGTTAGTGCTAATTCAATATTTAGCTAAATAAACGTAGATAACATGGACTGAATGGTTTTGTTTACTTCTTCCACAGCTATTGCTAACACTGCAGGCAGAAAACCGATGCCATCGTTCACAACTCCTTCTGTTAGCTGACAGCCTCCGTAGAAATTCAACTGGAGGAATCCAAGTAAGTGGGAGAAAGTTCAGACTGAGCTGTGAGGAGAAATTAGAATCAAATGGAACTACATATGAAGCTAGTGGCTAGCAATGTTAGCCCCTTATTAGGTTTGATCCACTGGCATTTAAGGAGCTACCCATGACTGGATTTCAATGATCTTGTCCTGCCTGTGCACAATTCACCACAACCCATCAAATGTGAGTAAACGGCGATCAACCCAGTGCATTTCTACCTTAAATCCACTCACCAGCTGGTTGGACAGACATCTCATTGCTTCATCACTCCCTAGAGAAGCCAGAAAGCCAGCTAATCCTTACATATGATGACAGATGCGAAGCTGGGACTGCCTTTCTTGGCAGCCCAGAGACCCAGCAGTAAGATTGACTTGCCTCTCCTTGCCGCCTTTGTCCTTTCAGAAAACACCAGGGGACGATGAAAGGGGCTCTCAGTCGCAGCTTTAAGTGTTTTGTAAAGAGATCAGCGGCTCTTGAAACTGTTTAGATGTTGGCTCGGCAAGTAATTGGGTGACGCATCTATCTACCGATGTCCAACGTGAATAAAACTCACTCCAAGAAATCAGTTTTCCAGGGATGTTCGACAACAACATGGCTCTCAAAGTGTGGCACGTCTTGACCGGAGTTTCTCCTTTACCTCCGGTCAAAGGAGAAAAAAAGACATAAAGTAGGCGTGCACATCCTTACACTAACAACCCGTGGAAGCAACTTTTGATTTGTTTTCCGCATTTCTGCAGTCCACAAGGATTCCACATTTTGACAATAATAGCCTGGTTTGT